CCAACATAACAGTCTCAAAAGCAGGGAGATGGATGGATATAACAAAATGACAATCAATTTTATAACCCATAAAAGAATGGAAACACTAGATGAATTTTTAAAATAATTTTTCAGAAAAAACTGTAAGACCATTGTCACCACAAAAAAAAATTGTTTTTGATGCTAAAAAGTTTGTTAAACAGCATCCCACGCTACAAGTAAGTCATCTTTGAAATTGGTGATTACTTTAATTTTATATATATTAATCGATATATTACATCAAATTTATAATTGTATGTGCTATTTATAATGAGATGGCATGTGCTTATATTAAAGCATTCTTTTAATTTAAAACATTCTTACATTAATTTATCAGTTAAGTTTTGTGTAGAAAATTTTACAATAGGCCTATTTAATTAGTTGTATGATTTAATATGAACTTTCCAAATTACACAGTAATATTTTCAGGGAAATTTTGGGCCCTAAGAATATTCTGCACCCATGAAGAGAAACAAAAAAAAAAGCAATTTTTATTCACTTAGCAACACTGATTCACATTACAAAAGCAAAAATGCACCAGAAACAATGTCACAATATAGTATTTACTCTGCTTTTTGAATCTTCTGATTATTTGCTGTCAGTGTGAACTAACCTTAAGTGAATATATAATTAAATTTTCACATTTTTTAAATAATTGCTTTAAATTTTAGATTAAATTTTAACTAAATATTCTTAAAAACAAATATTTTTAAAATTAAAATTAGAATAAAAGTATAAATATATTTTGATGATTATATTCAAAAAATATTTTTAGAATACAGTGGGTGATCGGTTAACGAACATAATCTGTTCCAAGACTTTGTTCGCTATCCGAATTGTTCGTTAACTGATTATCGATTTACCATAGGTTTTAATGGAAATTTGATTAATTCGTTCTGGAGACCCCCTAAAAATAGAAAATATATACTTTCTTACTACGTTTATTCATATGTAATAATAAAAATACATATATACATGGTCTTGCATTTTTATTAGTCATGTTTTTTCCATTTGTGGGGGTTAAAGAATCTGTCCAATGTCGATTGCTTTTCTGTCTTCATGATTTTTCAGAAGTAATTAATAGCATTGTAATTGTAGAGATCCCTAGGCCTATTAACCTCAACCTGGTTTGGATGCCATTTTAAGACTGGTGTTCTGACATCCTCCCACTTCTTCGAAAGATCTTTAATAGCAGATATCGGCATAAATCCGTATTTTCAGAAGAAAACGTAAAAGAATTGTTTCTGTCAGAAATATAAAAGGCTGGAATTACAAGGGAGAGTTTCAAAGTTCAGGGGAATACTATCCGATCAGTATATACTGGGTAGAACGTTGATGTCAATGTCTCCCAAGTTCCGAAAAGTTTCAAATTGTTGCCTGAAGACAAAGGAAGACCAATTGGTATTTGTTATTTTACATCGCTTCTTCTTGCGTTTGTTCAGTGAAGTGTTCGTTATCCAATCATAAAAATCTTTCGCGAAAGTGTTTGTTATCCGATCACCCACTGTATAAAAATTATATTCAGCAATTTTTTTCCAGCAGATGTTTTGTAGATTTCAGTTTCCTATTAACATAAAAACTGTGTTTTCAAAATTTATATTATTAATGTTAAAAATTTTACTTTTACTTCACAGAATGTTTAAGTTTATCAGAATCACAGTTAATCAAACTGCTAAATTCTAAACTAGTTTAAGTCTGTTCTGTAAACTTTTAACAAATAGTTGTCAATATTTTAAATAAAAGTCATTGTAAAGAATTTTTTATTAGCCCAAACTAATTATTATCAATAATTTACTTTCAAAAACAGTTATTCATATTAAAAGCAACTATGTGATTGTGTTTATATTTTTGCAATTTTTATCTCTCAGTTTTAATGTCACAGTTAAATGTGATTATGTGATGGTATTATTAAAAAGACAAATCTTTACTGCTTGTGAAAAAATCTTTTTGTAATGAATCATACATTGCAAATTATTCAAGCCATCAATAGCAAACCAGATCCCTCCAAATATATATTAAATTAAACAAACATATCATTTAAATTTTTACATCAATAAATGATATAGTATCCAAAGAATTCATACTACTCATACTTTACTACCAACAAATAAGAATTCAAAAGTTATTTATTTATTAAAATGGAAACTTATCTATCTTAGTACTAAAATATTATCTATATATTTAAAATTGCTTATCCTGACTGACTGACTCATTCACGGACTGATTCATCATTGCCCAGAACAAACCGCTGGACCTAGAGAGGTGAAATTTGGTACACAGTTAGGGTACGTCATGAAAACACACACTAAGAAGGGATTTTTCGAAATTCCCAAGTGGGGGAGAGAAGGAGAGCATTAAGGGTTAACCGGAAAAACGACTTCTACTGCACTATTTTAGATGCGATTTTTTGTTTTTATCTGCGTTTTAGTAGGGTAAGCAATGGCAATGCACACTAAGAAGGGATTTTTAGAAATTTCCCTGCGGGGGGTGAGGGAGAGCATTAAGGCTTAACCGGAAGAACGGCTTCTACTGTACTATTTTAGATGCGATTTTCTGTTTTTATCTGCATTTTAGTAAGGTAAGCGATGGCAATGCACACTAAGAAGGGATTTTTAGAAATTTCCCTGGGGGGGAGCATTAAGTCTTAACGGAAAACGGCTTCTACTGTACTATTTTAGATACGATATTGTGTCTTCAACTACGTTTAGTCTTCATTGAGTACTTAGGTATATTAAATTGATAACATTTCAGACATTGTTATAAATATTTTTATCTATTTTGATTTTAATTAAAAATGTTTGATCCGTTTTAAATTCGAATTTGTTATTGCATATTGGTTCAATTATAGAACGATTGTAAACGTTCCAGAAAATTGATCAAATTGAAGATAGTTTGTTTGATTCTTGGCAATTCTCTTCAGCGGTAGGTGTTATATGACAATTACTATGGTTATTGAAATATTGAATGTAAATGGGGTTTGCTTGCAAAACCTCCGCAGACGAAGTCGCAGGTAACAGCTAGTTATTTAATATTTTTGATTAAATCAAACAAATAAAACATCAAATAATAAATTCATTGCATTTCATTATATAAATTAATACCATTATTTTTTTAACAAATTTTAACCATCAGGAATAATATTTCATTTAAGTATTTTAATAATATCAGTATTAGTTATTAGTGATGAGACAAATAATCAAAATTGGTATCAGAAAAGTCGGACATTTTCCAGGTATCAGAGTAGACAAAATCTCATCACAATTTCAGATTCTTAAAAATGATTCTTCCACATTTTATAAGAAAATTAAAATATAAAAAATTTTTAATCTTCAACTGAAATGGATAATCCATTTCAATTGAAAATTTTTTAAATTACAATATTTACAATTTAACGTTACACTATCTGGAACCTGTGACCAGTGCTCTACGTGTATATATAGTATATCACTTGACAAACGTTTTTGAGTGATCTGTTCACTCTTCCTCAGGTCGACTGAAAATTCCCTGGTCGGAGTGTATATTATTCCTACAACGCTGGCCGGCTAGCCACCTGCGTTAATCGGAAGGAAGAGCTAACCCTGTCTCTGGCCTGGCAATCGCTGTTAGACGCCAACCCACTGTTTCCTACCCAACCACACGACTGCGCATGCCAGAAACAGCCCACCCAGTCGGAACCGACACCCAATCCAAACGAATAATATACACTACAACCGGGGAATTTTCAGTCGACCTGAGGAAGAGCGAACAGATCGCTCAAAAACGTTTGTCAAGCGATATACTATATATACACGTAGAGCTCTGGTCACAGGTTCCAGATAGTGTAACGTTAATTTCACCTCAGTGCTGAAAGTAGAGCAGTTCCTATGTTCACAATTTAATTAAGTATTAGCTTATTGGAAGCTTTCACATCAACAAAGAAGAGAACATGCAACACTCCATACACAAGATGACGTCTGTCATAGTGAACTTTTCTTTCATGTAGTTAGAGCAATGACAGATTGCACTTGGTCAGTACTAACTGTCCCCATTTTAGAGGATATAGGGTGGCATTAGGGTTGCCATCTGGCTGACACTAAGCCTGTTTGACCAGCAATCCGTATTTTGTATCTGTATAAATATATATTAAAAATAAATTGTTCCATCACCACCACACACAAACAACGTAAATTTAAAAATGAATTTGATTTATAATTTAAAAATTTCAAAATAACTTTTAAATGGTTTTTAAAAACATTCATTTAATTTTCAATTCATTTAATTTTATTTTTAGTTTTGATTTCAGTGTAAAAGCCAGAAATTTAATTATTATTTTTTAATAATTTTTATTTATTTAATTTTGCTTGCATTTTTTGAACACTTAATTACAATTTTTTAATTAATTGCAACTCTTTCTTTTGCAAAATAACTATATAAGTTATTTTAGTGTTGTTTTGCACAAAAGATAATGACATTTAGATTTATTTTAATTTTTTAGTAATTTCATTAATTTTTGCTTCATAAATTTGCCCACTTTAAAAAAATTTTAATTATAAGCGAGTTAACATTGATTGAACTATCAGGCTATCTAATTTCAAGTAGAGGCTGATGGTCAGCAAAGCAGTTTAAAATGTAAACAAAATTATATTTTAATTAAAAAAATATTATATAGAATTTTAAATATTTAGTATGTTTACTTATAATGATAAAAGGACTCTCTCATTATAATTATAAAAGTTTTTGTTGTGATTCATAGATGATGCTGTAATATGTTAAATATTCAAATGCAAATAGTGTGATTATAAGTAAATATACTTGTTTGCGCTAAGTTTAATGCTGTTTTGAGTTTTAAAAATAATTTTTCGAGACAAGTCAGTCTAGATGTTCGAGGCTCAAGTGAGTGAATGAATTCAAAATTCGTTAACTCGTGATGATATTTGTTTGGCTCATTGCATTATTTGCTGAATTTCATTTCGTATTAAATATGATGGAGTTAAATCATTTACAAGACATGCTCATTGCAAGAAGCGTGAAAAAGTACATCTTCTCATTTACCTCCCCCTTGGTCATTGCATCAGCCAATAAAGCATTTTCCAAGATGGCAATCCTACATGACGTGATGCGATAGTTCGTTGAGTAAAAGAAAATTATCTGTAATTTATTTGACGGTGATGTTGCAATATTAACTATATCAGAAATAATATTACAAATTTATTTTGTAGTGCACAATAAAATCATGCATATCCACAATATAAATAAAGAATTTTCATATTTCTTTTGAAAGATTGATTCTGGGTTTCCCAATCATTTTCCATTCTTAAGCTTGATGTTTATTAATTAATGAATGTACAGTGCTCATAATGTAAATCATTAATTTTTCTAAACTAATATAAACTTTATGAAGTATTAAAAAAAATCAGAATCAGGAGAAATTTTATCATCATCCCATCACTATTAGTTATATACTTAATAAAATTTACCTGAAGAAGCTGACGTATAAGACTATCAGAAGCTCTTTCTGTTATATTTCCAACAAAAACAGTTACTGGAGGTCCTTTTGGTTCTTGTGGCTGAAGTTCAGGCTAAAAATTTAAATTATTATTATTTTATATAAATTTTAAAAAATTACAGTAGAACCTCGATTATCCGGACTAATTGGGGATGAAGGTAGTCCGGATAAGGAAAAATCCGGATAATCGAAACAANTAGATGATGCTGTAATATGTTAAATATTCAAATGCAAATAGTGTGATTATAAGTAAATATACTTGTTTGCGCTAAGTTTAATGCTGTTTTGAGTTTTAAAAATAATTTTTCGAGACAAGTCAGTCTAGATGTTCGAGGCTCAAGTGAGTGAATGAATTCAAAATTCGTTAACTCGTGATGATATTTGTTTGGCTCATTGCATTATTTGCTGAATTTCATTTCGTATTAAATATGATGGAGTTAAATCATTTACAAGACATGCTCATTGCAAGAAGCGTGAAAAAGTACATCTTCTCATTTACCTCCCCCTTGGTCATTGCATCAGCCAATAAAGCATTTTCCAAGATGGCAATCCTACATGACGTGATGCGATAGTTCGTTGAGTAAAAGAAAATTATCTGTAATTTATTTGACGGTGATGTTGCAATATTAACTATATCAGAAATAATATTACAAATTTATTTTGTAGTGCACAATAAAATCATGCATATCCACAATATAAATAAAGAATTTTCATATTTCTTTTGAAAGATTGATTCTGGGTTTCCCAATCATTTTCCATTCTTAAGCTTGATGTTTATTAATTAATGAATGTACAGTGCTCATAATGTAAATCATTAATTTTTCTAAACTAATATAAACTTTATGAAGTATTAAAAAAAATCAGAATCAGGAGAAATTTTATCATCATCCCATCACTATTAGTTATATACTTAATAAAATTTACCTGAAGAAGCTGACGTATAAGACTATCAGAAGCTCTTTCTGTTATATTTCCAACAAAAACAGTTACTGGAGGTCCTTTTGGTTCTTGTGGCTGAAGTTCAGGCTAAAAATTTAAATTATTATTATTTTATATAAATTTTAAAAAATTACAGTAGAACCTCGATTATCCGGACTAATTGGGGATGAAGGTAGTCCGGATAAGGAAAAATCCGGATAATCGAAAAAATACTTTAATTTGTCCTTTAATGATAATACAACACGTTTTCTTTTCGATGACATATCGGTAATATTAAAAGTTAATGCTATATTTAAATCGTAATCAAATTTTCAAGAAATAAACGTTCGTATTGAATTTAGACTACTACTAACCAACGCTAACAGACTACCTACTGTTTAAAAGGCTCTCTGGTGGCGCAAAAAGACGGATTTCATAAAATAAAAAGCAGTTGAAACTGCATTTTTATGAATAAAAATTTGACAAATTATTTATCGTTTTATGACGAGTAAAATTTTTTCGTCGCGTTCATGGCTTTTAAGTAATGCATAAACCTTCGAGGCGCGAGGCATAGGCGGTGGCCCATGTCGTCCATGCCTTACGCCGCCCTTGGTCATAGAAATGATGTAATTTGAATATAAGTTATTTATAAATACGTATGTCAAGGGATATTTTTATTACTACGTAAAATATATTTAAGAGTTTACGACCACTGTGCTGGGTGAGACGTTGTTGAAACAAAAAAAGTTATGCATTCCATCACGTACATAAACAGTGTCGTAATTCGCCAAGTGCAAATAAGCAAATTCGTAAAATTTTTGTTTATTTTGAACAATTCGGATAATCGAAAATCCGGATAATGGAGGTCCGGATAATGGAGGTTTTACTGTATTATAAAAATACTATTTGCATGAATTTATTTTTGTTTGTGAATAGTTTTCCATTTTTGAATTTTAGTTTGTCATTAGTTTCTCTAAGTACAGATCTTACTCTTTTAAATATATCATAAAATAAAATATTACAATAAATTTGTCATAATTTTTACTAAGAACAATTTTTAATGCATTTATTAGATTCATGATTATATAATTTTATCATATTTCGTAATCCAAATGAATATAGACCATAAAATCTCCTTAATTTAGTATTCCATTTAATTTTTTATTAAAAAAATTCATGTTTATTTTTTCTATCTATTAATTTAACAACCAATAATTAAACTTTAAAATATTCAAAAGACAAGTGGAAAACCAGTCATTATATTTATATTGTGTCGCACATGTACAATAAATAAGTGTGAGAGAGAAAGTGTGTGGTATCATATATGTACAGACACACACAAACTTAAATTTAAATAGCAGAAAAATTTTAAATGTATTTTAAAACCAAAAATATTCTGTAAGCATATAGTCTGAATATTCCTTATTTTAGTTGAAAAGGTTCATGAAAGGAGGAGAAATTGACATTTTTGTTAATATTAAATATTAATATGGAAAAGTAAGGAAACAGTCTCTCTTTGAGGCTTACAGCCTAAGTATTTCATTGCCTTGTCATGGAAGAAGGTAAATGACTCTTCTTTGGCACCTGGAAGACAGAAAATGGGGTAACTGCACTTGCCTCCTTTTACTATGCCATAACACAAAGGTGAGTATAACTGATGGAGAGTTAAGTGGATATGTCACCTTCTTCTATGCCTTTACTTCCAGCAATGTGTTAGAAAATGAGTGCTGCCATCTTCCAGTATTAGTATTGCCTTTTTCAAAGATGATGCAGTGCATGCAAGACACATGTGACACATGAAAGTAATTAGTAGCATAATTGAATGGGCATTCCCAAGCTTATGTTGAATTCGTTGCTTAGTGTGAACAGCATTGTCTCAAAATGCAAACAATGACTATATATATATATTGTTATATATCAACACACTTACTAAAACACCTTTTCTTGCAGCCGACGGAGAAATTTACCTCATAATGAAGGAGTTTTAACGATGGAATATAATGCGTCGTTGAATAATATTTTCCGACGCATCGGAAAGGCCCAGAACAAAAGAATCATATATAAAAGAACCCGCACCACGTACCAACTACTGCGATCTGATAAAGATTTAGTGGACAGAAGAACACTCCCCGGGGTATATAAAATTCCAGTTACGGACTCAAGGCGACGAAGTAAATTAATATATGTAGGGGCAACAGGAAGAAGTATCAAAGACAGGTTAGCAGAACATCAAGCAAATATAAGAAAAAAACAACCTTGCACTGCGCTAGCCACCTACGTTCTAGCGGACCAGCAAGACGTCAATGTTGAATGGGACCAAGCAAGACTAATGCAGATAGTTCGAGACAGGAGACACCGACATTACGCGGAAGCCTGGCAGATTTGTAAGGCAAAGCATAAAGGCCTTGCAGTCAACTTCCGGGAATCGACTAAAATATCGGCAGCATGGTCCTCTAGCTTAATATAAAATTAATAATTGAAGAAAGTAGTTAATATGTATCTCAAGTTATATTTTTTGAACGATGTAGGGAGATGGCATCTTTAAGTATTTATATTTAGATAGTTATGTAATCTTTTTATATTTCCGGTTACACTGACGTCATGTACAACGGATTATAAGCGAGTTCGAAAGATTTGAAAAAACAGTTATTCGTACTAAGCGTTCGATTTACGATTGTGGTGTTTATTTTGTTACTTAGTTAATTTTATTTTCTTGAGAAAGGTCTTTTAACAAGACCGAAAACGTTTGAAAGTTGTTATAATAAAGAAAAACAGTTATTCGTACTAAGCGTTCGATTTACGATTGTGGTGTTTATTTTGTTACTTAGTTAATTTTATTTTCTTGAGAAAGGTCTTTTAACAAGACCGAAAACGTTTGAAAGTTGTTATAATAAAGCGTCAACTGCAAGAAAAGGTGTTTTAGTAAGTGTGTTGATATTACAATATGCAGTCTAGAAAGAATTATATTGTTATATATATATTAAAAAAAATGTTATCAGTGTTCAGTGATTATAGATATAGAGAGACATCATAAAAGAAATAATTTGTAAAGATTTAATCTTCAGATTTTAATAAAAAAACTGGACATTAGATATATTATATAATAATGAAAAAAAATGAAGTAAGATATTATATATATATAATTAAGAATCTAACTTCTATACAGCAACAAAATCATCCATTCTTCATACGTGATGGTTTTTACTTTTTTCTAATTTTTATTAAAATGTAGTCATTATTTCTTATATAATAAATTTTATCTTACTTCATTTTTTTTCATTATTATATAATATATCTAATGTCCAGTTTTTTTATTAAAATCTGAAGATTAAATCTTTACAAATTATTTCTTTTATGATGTCTCTCTATATCTATAATCACTGTAACACTGATAACATTTTTTTTAATTAAAACTACTTTATATAAACCTTTAAAAATTATTCACTTTCACAGGTATTATTTTTTATTTAAATTCCAATTCACATTTAAATATAGTCATTAGTTACATTTTAAATTAGTTTTATTTTTAATTTTAGTAAAATGTACATACAGGAATTAATTCATGTCTGTGATATATTATTTACTTGAAAAATAACGTAAAGTTCAATTCTACACTTGGTGATAAGCTATTTATGTCACAATAATGACTCACAGCTTGAAATTAAGCCAATAGTTAGTATTCATTATTGTGAAGTAACATTCACTTCTTACAGGATAATATTACTAGATGGCTATCATGTAGGAAATTTGAATTCAAACAACATGTAAAAAATGGCTCATAAACTTAGTCTTTGTCATGTATGCAACACAATAATTACACTTTTAGTTCTAAACTAAAGAAAAGACATCAAAGAAATAATTCTGCCATTGCTTTAAAATGTGCAAAAATATAAATTAAAATAAATACAGTCGACCCCCTATAACACGGGTTCCTATAGTTCGGATTCCTATATCATACAAAAAAAATTGCGACAGTATTCATACAAACATGCTAAAAAAACTCCTATAATTCAGTAAAATGTCATCGCCAACTCGTGTGGCAACAGGATTAATCGAATTTAGACCAATAGTGGATATTGCACAAACAGTTAAGTTTAAACTAGCAGCGGACCTACTAAAAACCTTTTATAATTTAACGTCCATAAAAATTATATTTATATTAATGACGTCTCCAAAGTTCAGAGAATTTTTCGCAAAAAAGTAATTTATCAGGAAGCACGCGAGCACCATTCGATGACAAGCTCCATGGCAAAAACAAGCTTAAGCAATGGCGTAGTCGAACGGTGCACGCTTGGTAAGTAATCCTACAATTTTTTGTTTATAGCATATTTTATATGGATTATTCCCAAAAAATTATACGTATTTTGGAAATGTTGAGTTGAATTAGTCTAGAATCGATTAATTTTATGGAAGAAACCTTTCAAACAGCTGTAGTGCCGGACTGTGATTGGCTGGACTCCTAGAAGCTTGATTCATAAAACTCGGAACGTATCTACTGTGTTATAGGGGCGTTGACTGTAATTACTTCTTTTTTAGTTATCAATAGAATGCCTGAACTATTACCAAAATTAATTTTAATATGATTAAATTCAAATATGTTTGAAAATGCAACTTAAAATCTGCACAAATGTAAATATTAGATTTTTTAAAATAGTCATAAAAAATTTTTTTGAAACAATGGATTTTGTGTTTTTGTTATATAGTAAAAGCTCTATATTTGGAGGATTATGTTCTTTCATTTAATTCTCTCCTTAACTATTGTTTGATTATTTTAGTTAATCCTTCCACAAAAAAAGTAAATTTTAGCTTCACAAATATGAAAAATAGTTGAAAAACCCAACTCCAAATATGCAAAATGAATGAATATGGAGATTCTACTGTATCAGAAAAGATAAATTAAGAAAGTTAACAAAATGCATTTTATCATTTTTTTCTAATCAGCTTTAACATTACTAATTATAACTTAAATTATAAAAGTTATATGTTTGAGGTTTTGTAGTTTCCCCCATAAATCAAATTGGTAAATATAGCTAATCTTGGTAATTCGAATAAAACATATAAGAATAAACTAAAAATTAACAGCATACAAGCAAAAAATATTATGGTATTTATATTTCACATTTCTGAATTTAGACCTAAAATTTGAATAAACAGGTCTTACTCTTTTATAAGGTACTGCTGGCATTGGATGCTTTTTTATAGGTGATTTTTGATGAACAGCCATAGACATGGAAGGTGGAACAGTCATTGCTACAGGTGCCATCATCTTTAAAAAATTTAATTTTACATTTATTAATTTAATTCAAACATAGTTGCAAATA